GAATTAATTAATTAATTTWAAAAATACCAGGAGAATGGGCATAAGTTATGTCAGATGAACTGATAAGAGCACAGAACTGAAATATTAATATATGCTGATTGTCACCTTTAAATAGGTAATGATGKTGAGAAATATACCCTAAGGGTATCTGCACAGGAATATATAGGAAGCATATTTTTAAGTGCTCACTAGATGGCAACATTGCTCCATCAAAATACAACTATAGGGCTACTTTTTCAGGGGCACGCACCTGAACTGCAAAATTCGACTCTTACCTTTGCAGGAGGGATACTAAAACATGGTGCAGAAAAAAAAGAAAATAGATTAAAAAAAACACGATTAATGTCAGACTAATGTCACGGGGTGCCCAGTTCTGCTTTGACTTTGTGGTGTGCCATAGCATAGGAAAGAAGTTGCACGAAAAAGGGAATATCAACATAGCAGCTGTTAGTGTCACCTGAGGTCTGGATTTTAATTCAGAGGGAGGTTCAGTGCAATTTGAGTCATCTGGTCCCTGCAGTTCCCCTTCACATAGCATCTGAATGACCAGTGTAAGCTGTTTACTAAAACTAGACTTGGCATTGAGAACAAAGCATAGAGGTGGAGAAGAGAGTTCAAGAAAAAAAAATGTATATAGATAAATATGGGCTTCAAGAAGTGATTTTGCAAGGCACGMCAGCACAGCACAACCTCCTTCCCAGGAGGCCTGTGTGAGGCTGGGGTTGTGGCATACACAGAGTAGGTGCTGAGCATATCCCTGAACGGGAGGAGCATTCTGCCAAAGTTAATGGGAATTTCTGCTGAAAGGGGAAAGGTGTGAGGCTGCTTCCAAACACATCCTCAGCAAAAGAACCTGGAGTATTTCCAGGGTATGAAAATGAATATTTCCAGGGTGGGAAAATGAGTATTTCCAGGGCAGGAAAAATTTCCTCACTAGTGCGGTAAGGAAAATGAGTAAAAAACTTTGCAGCACATGAAGCTGTTCACAGAAGGACCTGAGATGGATGTTTGAACCCAGCTAAATTAAAGATTACATGTGTACAGGAGGTTATCTGCAGTTTTCCAAGGGGCTTTTCTTTTGCATACGCATCCTAAGCCAGTCTTTGAAATATTCTGCAGGTTTTGCCTTGCTGTCATTTTCCAGGCAAAGGCAGAGTCAGGAGGGCTGTGTTTCACAGGTATTTGGTGGGCAGGATATGTGATTTCTTYCCCAATCCTCACCATGGGTCTGCCAGAGGGAGCAGCCAGACCCAGCCATAAGAGGCTGAGGAAAGGTAAGATGAAGCCCAAGGATGGCAATTTTTCCATTTAATTTTCAGTTTTGATAAAAACTTATAAGCACTCCAAGCATTTGGGTGCCTCTTACTTCAGATAGTACTGTCATTGAAGAAATGTCTTGTAAATATACATAGGTATATTTTTTTTCCCCTGTAATTACAGGAGATTTGGCTGCTTGACCTTGTATACTCTCTACTGGCACCTTATCGACTGCCTAAACATATGCAGTCACAGGGCACTCTTCAGTTTGACCTGGAGTGCTCCTTGAATCAGACTGTTTCCCCCACAACAGCATCCACTAATATTTTTTTTCCTCATCTTTACAAAATCATGACCTGGTATCTCAACAGCAATCAAGCCAGGGAAACCTCTCCATTAGACCAGTATCTGAGCCACACATCACATGGGAGAAACAGGATGCATAGCTCAGTGACAGCAAATATTATGCCCATATATTGAAAAGAGGTGGCCTTTTAATTTGACAAAACTCTAGAAATAAGCCTTTAATACCCGCTAATTTAAAGCTGCGCTGGGGAGCCAGCGTTAGTGTCCTTCCRTGGGGGTCAGGAAGCAGAAATCCCTTTTACCCGCAGCACTGCCGCATGCCGGCTGACCTCTGCAGCTCTCCCTGCGAGCAGGAGAACGTGYGTGGAAGCACCAAAATTCCCCTTCAAAAGCAAGGGCAGCTCCCCCACAGCCTCAGCTGCTGCAGGGACCACAGGGAGTTCCTGCCTTCCCGGTGGGGAAAGACCTGGCCCCATACTGGAACTGTGAGGATTAGGCAAGAAACTTGCTCTTGTACATGGGAGACAYTGCCTCTTACATTATCCTGCCCCTGCATCCTGCTCTTCATCAGCTGCACCAGTCCATAAGTAGAAATGCACCAGCTCTAAAGACAATGAGGGCTGCCCTATGTAACTTAAAATTGTCAATACCCTATTGCCYGTTATTTAGAGATGGTGGTGTGCATGCAGGTCAGGAAAAGCTCTGTTTTGCCCTCTGTGCCCCTCTAATGCCACACACTGAAGCATTAAAGTTTAAAGTTTTTTTAACTCTTAAGAGAAATAGTTTAATTTCCTCCACAAAGTCGAACGCAGATTTTGAAGAAAAAAGCACTATTTTGAAGAAATGCTATTCTGAAGATTTTTCTTCTTCACATTTAATTTAAAAGAATATAAGTTAAAATAACGACCTAAATATGCTTGATCAATTCATTTATGTTTTGGGATATAAAATTAACATGTGCAAAAAAGAATACAAATGATGTGTAAATTATTTGACAGAATATCTCAGAAAATATTGCATGTATAATGGAACCTGACAGAGAAATAAAATCTTTGGATTTTGAGCAGAATCTTATTGTTGGATAGCAAGTAAAAAGTAAATACTAAAGTAATTTATGCAATTGCAGCAAGTTGTTTAGTCAGGTGCAGCTGGGACCATTGTTAGGACTTGCTTTACAAGCATTTATCATTTTCATTAATAATGTGGAAGAGTTGATTCACAGCATATTAATTAAATGAGGAGACAATTCTAAATTGAGAGAAGTCACAAATATCAGTGAGGACTGAGGCATAATGTAACACGACCAAAAAGATTAGAAAAATGAGTATGGAAAAGATGARGAGATTCAAACCTGGAAAAGTGCAGCTAGAGATATCTTAATCAWGTCAGCCCTATACATGAAAACTTTAAGTGAGAAACAACCAAGGCAATAACACTGTAAGAGTAAACAGCTAATTGGATATTGATTAGTAAATAAAGCAGAAGCCATAAAGACTGCTTTGATTCTGGCCTGCCTGTGGAGAAATCATCATGTCTTCGAAAGGCTTACAGCAATTTTTAAGTAGCTGAAAGGTAGAAGGAATTTCAAACATCTGTTCATAGTGAAATATTCAGATCAAAATGAACAAAAAAARATTATTTGAAGAATATAAACATTAGGGAAGAACAAAGACTGGAGATCTCAACCATCATAAGAGCTGCTAGAAAGTTTCCAATGAGAAGAAGATGTAACATGACTTGGAATACCTAAAACAACTGCTCAGTTCATCACTAGATGAGATAGTGTAAATAAATTTTTATCTGTGACAAAGGACTTGTGCAGTACAGTTTTTCCAACTCCTGTATGCCTATGGGTTTCACATAACAGTTTAGGCAGATGACTTCTGCTTAACATGAGCTGAATATATTCCTAAATCTCACTGGAGTGAATAGGATGCAATGCTACAGTAAAATTTAAGCACATTGTTATATGRAATCAATGCATATAATTGCTTTCGAGATTTCTTGTTTTAACTAGGAGATTTAGTTTTAAAGAAGCTCCAACAATCCAGTGCAGCATTAAAAGGCTGTTTGTTTTAGAACACTGAAAATAACATTCAGATGTGCAGTGATCCCAGTATTTTATAGCACTTCTCATCCATTCTTTTCAGTTATGCCAGTTAATCTGTAATACTACCTTTCTCTCACTAATACCTTTACCTCTCTCTTGCAGGTGTCATAAATGACACAGAACAGAATTTGGGTAGAATCCTAGCAATTTAGGAGACCAGTTCCAACTTTCCTGTAACTGTGCATAAACCCAAATTCACGGACAGTCTGAACTGTCATCTCCCGCCAGGACCCTCTGACTGTCTCAGTGCATGCATGCATTTGCACTTACGGGCATCTTTTTTCTTTGCATATGCAAAGCAGTATGACCAAGCAGAGTTTGTTTGTAACGTGACGTTAATTCATTTGTTGTGTGTGCTATTGAGCAACATCTTTGTCTTTTCCTCAGCTTCTTATTCTTTCATTTTAATTAAACTCAATTAAAGAAGTATTACCCTTTAATTATATTCCTAACCACAACTGACTCAGCATTCATCACTTGCTGAGGTGGGAAGTACCTAATTAGGATGCCAGCCTTCTTTGATGTTTCTTCTTTACATCAGAAAGCACCGCTTCCAGTTGGGCTGGAGCAGTAGTTCTGGAGCCATTAGCTGAGCAAAAAATCTTCCCTAGAGAATGATCTCTAACTGGCCTTTCATGCTCTCACATTTCACGGAGAGGTCTCTTTACTCCTTTTCAAGGAAGAAGTCACAGTACAGATGCTTCTCCAAGGCATTCTAGCTGTTGAGCAGGGCTACATAACTACGTTCACCTCCACCTTTCTGCACCTCTCATGAGATCAGTGAACTTACTCTAAAAGTACACCCATGCAGAGAGTTAGGGAAGCTGGTGCTTTCCACAATAAATTCACCAGAATGAGTTGCCAGGGGAGTTCTGGGTGTTGATAAGAATAGGAGAGGCTGGCTGAAGAGATCATTTATCTGTCCTAGTAATGAGCGCATTTGAAACAAGCTCCCCACTGCTAATTATCACTTGGTTCTGATTGATTCATCACCTGCTTTGGTACTCCTATTGCATAAACAACACATGAAGTGCTGGGTTTAAGAAACTGAATAATTTGCAGATTTTGATTAACAAAAAAATCACAAGAGAAGCTGGCCTGTCCTGTGAATTGCCTCTATACTATACTAATTACTACCACACTGCTTTTCTTTCCTTTTGTGCCTCTGTTTGGCTACACGTACATATGTATGTGCATCTATAATTACTGCATAATGACATATAGAATGCCTGCATAATATTTTAATAAAAATGATAGAGTAATCTAATTTATATATACCCATTACAAGCTGCAAATTGAACATCAGAGGAACATGAAAAGTCCTTACCTATTTCAGTCATGGATATCCCCGGAGCTAATTGCCCATTGTTGAAAGAGCTATAGGTAAACAAGTTTGGTACAGAAGTGAGGTCATAGATAGGTTCCTGCTTTATCTGTTTGATTCCAGTCATGTCTAACCCGGACTGATCCGGGGAAGGCTGAGCAGAATCCACATTATAATAACCCTCAGACTTTGGCAGGTCGATGACATGCCCGTTGGAGTAAGTGCCGCCGGTCTCGTTATTCAGGTTGCTCAAGCCATTGCTGATGCTGTTGCTGTAGACCCTGGCCAGGGCTTCAGCCTCGCCACTCTGCTGCTGACGCTGCTCCTGCAGCCGCTGCTGGTGCTTCTGCACTTCAGCATACAGGCTGTCCCTCTGCTTTTTGGACATTCTTCCAAATTTCACAGCTGAAAGGCAAAACACAATGCAAAGCATTATTCCCTCCCTCTCTTTTTATCCCCTATTAATTCCACATGCTCCCGTTGCTCTTCTGATATTTACTTTTAACACTGCTTTTGCTGCAGAGATCTATCTTCTTCTACAGAAGTGAGAGAGGATGCATAGTTTATATCATAGGTGTCTAACAAAGGGAAAGGTATTGAATGTTTGGATTTACAAGGTGCCAGCAACTTCTTTCTGTCAGGAAGGGCCTCAATCAAGTAACTTGTAACTTATGATGAGTGCTAAAAATGCCCTGCATCTCTTCTCTTCTCTTCTCTCTGTGTTCACCAAACAACAACCTGGAGCTATATGAAATGTACAGTCTTTAGATTCATATCCCATGTGATTTATCAACTTTCCACAAACCTTTAAACTGTTCACTAACAGGATTAGTACTCTGGATGAAAACAGACCCTAAAGCCGTATTATTGCATCCATTCAATGGGGTGTTATCTTCACACATTTTTCCTATTTTTTTTTTTTTATGTTACAGGTTAGAGTGAGAACCTGCAGAAAAATAACAGATGTGAAGACATGAAGGTAAACAACAAAAATGAATGTCATCTTATCCGCAGAGGCAAGACTCGGGGATTTACACAATCAATTTACATAATTTCTGAGCACAAAATCCATGTGTTCCTCTTATGAGAAAGGGAGGAAAACATCAGCGTGCAAACTCTTCTCTTCAAAAACAGGCTTCATTACATCAACACCAAAATTTTCAAAAACAGTAGGTTTAACTGCCACAGAATTCTAGGGAGTGAATATACAGGCTAAATATTTAATGGGTCACATGAAATTATTGTTTTTTTTCCCCTAGTGTGTCTTTAAATTCTGTCTTTCTATATCGGTCTAGATATTGGAGAGAGAGCTTATCATGCTCTAGAGCAAGTTAGATCTTGCAGTATCTAAAAGAGTTTATCATAGCATGGATAACAAAAATGAACAAGAAATAGTAACTTTTATAAACTAGAAGGAGGACTAAAAGAGGATAAAATCATAAGGGAGAACAGCTGCCCTTCAACTTGTTTGCAGTGCTTCATTCTAACAACTCTTTTCTCTTTTATCAACCACAGCTTACAGTCCCCTTCACATGGGCTGTAAGTTACCTTATGTAAAYGCATAGGCTGCAAGTTACCTTATGCAAACACATAGGCTGCCTCTGGAGTCTGCTCTCAATTCATTTCACACTCTTATGGACAGTATACAAGGACTTTATTTTGAAAAATGCAACTGAATATTTTCTTTAATATTAGGGCCTCAGTAATAAAAACAAACACCCACTGTTTATTCTCATTATATATTCATTAATTGGATTCTCCAGCTGCTGTCAATTAGCATCCTGCCTCCGCATGATAAAAATGAATCTGTTATATAGCTGAGAGGTAAAATTCACATTYAATTTCTCTGCTAAAAAAATCCACAAAGGCTATCCTAAACATGTGAGAGCCCTCAATACGGTTAAGTACAAGCATCTTACATAAACAATGAGAGAAGAAGGGGATGCTGTCACAAAAATCAGTGTGTGTGCAGGCAGCAGTCCCTGAATTACAGGTTCGGAAGACATAAAATAAAAATGTCCCCCCTCAAGTCCTGATACCTCAAGTCTTTGGGAGATATGACTTCTAGGGAGAAAGCACATCATGCTGATGAATTACTGGAATTTTACTACTTCAATCTCTTTTGGTCAGGAGCAGGAGCTAAGGCATCAAGTATGCTACATGATAGGACCAAAGGGGTCTACGGATTAAAGGCTAGACTGCAAAACCCTCCCAGACCAAAGAGATCTAACAAGGTTTTACAAAGAAATGAAAGAAATATGGGAAATATTGAGATGGAAAAGACCTATTGGAATACAATTTTTTTAAAAAGGCTTATGAACTGTGAACCATCTAATAAAAGATATTCATATGCTTCATGTAACATCACTTAATGAACATTAATTTACAAAGACACCTTTTGTGTATACTGTTTAAGACAGAATGTCACTAAAAGGAAATCCAAATTAATACAACCTGCCTTCAAAAGAATGACATTCTGGCCTGCTACTTCGTGAGAATTTGAAACCTTGCCATGATCTGGAAGCTGCCTGCATTGGCAGTGGTGCTTGGGGCAGGTAGGATGTAGGTAGCTTTGTACGGCATTGCCAAGGGATCCTGCCTGGATCATGTTGGCAGTCTGCTGGCTGCAGCTGATCAATCAAAGGTTGGAAAGTGGCTTTGAGCTGTCCCATAACCAAAGGGTCTCATCTTTCTTTATATCATGGAGCTTCCTCTGTAGTGTCACATGGGATAGATTCCATTTTCAATTTTACAAATCTACACAGGGGCAGGTGGCAAAGCACTGGTTAAAAAAATCTCCCTTACAATGCAAAATGTTCAGCCAAGTGCTTTGAATAGAACAACAACAACAAAAATTTAATATGATCAAGATGTGCTTTTGTTTTGAAACTGCCTATTTACAGTCACAGACCGTTGGAGATTTCAAGGAAAAGGACACTTTCATACATCAATATTTAATGTCTCTAAAATGAGAGTTGGTCTAAACTGCAGTATGAATCTGCCTCTCCAGAGGTGACCCTTTTGTGCTTTTGATCAGAAAAGCGTGTTTCAATCCTGACTTTCTCCATGCCAGACCCATGCTACTCTCCATTTGGCAGTTCTTCCCACCTCTRCCATCAAAGTGCACTCCTTTTCTTCACTGAACAGCAAGGCTCTGCCTTGCAGCGTGCRTATCACTCCTTCTCCTTGCTCGCCTTGCAGAAATCTGCAGGGACTTCCAACTAGACAGCAGCAAGAAGGAGTTTCAAAGGACTGAAGCGCGAAGCAGGGATCTGATCCTTACCATCTCGAGACATTCCCAGGGCAAGACACTTCTGCAGCCGGCAGTGTTGGCATCGGTTTCTGTTGGTTCTGTCAATTAAGCAGTTTCTCTGCCTTGGGCAGGAATAAGAGGCGTTGTTCTGCTGACTCCGCCGAAAAAATCCCTAGGGACCAGGAGTGAGCATGGAGAGAAAGAGTTATCATGCACAGGTATGCGCACACACAGAGCCATGTTAACGAYGCCAATAAAAGTGCATTTTCATTAATGCCCCAGCTTTGCAGATGCTCTAGCTTTGCCTTGAATCATGAAACTAAAGAATATTCACTACTAGACTTAAGATTTGTATATTATCCTATAAGGAGTATAATTATTACTTTGGCAAGTAACAGGCAAGGCAAGTGATAGAGCTACAAAATGCACTCCTATATGAACCACCATGTACTATCTAATGCCTCCCAACAGAGGACAAACACATTTGTAAACAGATAGCAAAACTAATCATTCTCACTTTTTACTTTCCTGAAGGAAAGAGACTAGCAAAACCAATGCAAATAAAAACAAGAGTTTTTACTGGTGTTGGAAGCCGAAGACTGCTGCTTAGTTTAACCTGGGAAATGTTGATCTTATCTGAAGAGACACTTTAGGAGTGAAAAGTAATTCAAATTCAAGCATGCACAAAAGCACTGGGGTTTAATGACTGTATCAGGTAAAGTTCACATGCAAAGGAGAAAGCAACACCTTTAAACACTACCATGAGAAAGTACTGACATTTCCTATGCCCACAGAATATATCATTATTTGTTTTACCTATTTAGAATCTAGCAGGTAAAATGTATTCTGTCTTGAGAAGTGTTAATAATAAGACATGGAAGCAGCAAAGGCTATATGCCTAGGGTGAATGACATTGGGGAAATGAGCAGGCTGAACTGTAACAAGGCTCAATTCACCTTCAAGAGGTGAAGGTTTGCTCAAGCCCTAGTGAACTGCTTAAGGACAGCATGGGTGTCAACAGCGATGGAGGGGACTAAGGGCACTGGATGGCTCATGAGGTCAACAGCAAAAAGATTCACTTTATCCATCCTATACTGGGTTTATCAATGACTATAACATAGCTAAGAATTAATTTAAGTTGCATTATATGCACTCTGGGAAACACAGATATTCTTTAGGGGAACTACTAGGAAAAATCTGATGGGGACATATCTGATTGTGCTTGACCAAAACTCCCCTGCAGTTGTAGAGGGAGTTTAAGTTAAGGCTAAAAGGATACTAATTGTAGAACATTTATCATTAAGTTAAGGCTAAAAGGATACTAATTGTAGAACATTTATCATCTATTTGCTGAACTTTACAGTCAATCTTGCTTTTTATGTAAGTAGAATTTCCCAGCTTAGATTTCAGTAGCTCCTCTGTGAATAAGGATTTGAGAGAAGAAACAAACCAACCAAGTTAAGTTAAAAAAATCCAAATAACACTCTAGGATTGACTGTGTCTTATCTTAAAGAGTTATTTTCCCTCATTAATTGAATCTCATAAGAGTTTACTGTTTATTCTTTGTTAGAAAAAAACTCAAGATTTCCTTTTAACTGTTAACTTATAATAGGTAATTTTGTTTTTTCAGGGAGAATTTCATACTCTTCTGCTCTCCTATAAGAACTAAATTCTTTTTATTACAAGGTGTTGAGCATCACGTTATATGTTTAGGGGATCTTTAAATAATAATGGCTATATTTACAAATAATAATTCCCTTCGGGGAAGAACAAGGCACTTCATTAACAAGGAGCTAGACCTAAAGACAGCTCTCCCAATATTCCCAACACCAACAAGAAGTCTGTCTGCATCCTGAGCAGTTCTCTTTGTCCATCACCATGAGCCAGGTGCCACGGAGACACACAGAGTGGAAACTTTCACGTGTCACCCCTCCAGYACAGACAGTGGCAGAAGCACTGTTTTGGTCAAGGAGCCCAGCGCTTTGCTCAGTGGATCCAGCCCACAGCATCAGTGGCGTTGGCGACGTCCCTTCGGCACTGGCCATCTGCATCTGCAGCAGCTTCGCTAGAGCAGAGACGCTGAGTGAAAGGATTTYCCATCCTTAGATGGTGGGTCCTGACCCGAGTGTGCGTTTGTTTACCCTTTCTTAACGGGTAGCTCTCCTTCTTAATTAATTGAGATTTTTAAAGTGTTCAGGCAAAAGGAGCAAGAAATGAGCCATTATTAGCAAACAGTTATTTAATTGTTGGACAATGAGGAGCTGAGTTAGGCTGCCCAAGACAAGGCCTACCTAAAGAGAGACCTTTGACAAGCTGAAACGTTTCCCATTGGACCTAGTGTGAAAACCAACATCTTTTTTTTTTTTTTCATGACAAGCTCTCAAAACAAGATCACAYTAATTGATCTGATACTGCAAAGCTGGCACAAAAACAATAGGGTTAAAACTGCTCTAAGTGGAAGAGGAGCTCTTATCTCAATAAGCAATCTACATACAGAGCTGAGAGGTATTGTCTCCTCTCCAAGCACACACAAGGGCCGGCATTAACACTAATCACACCTACAGGAGACTCTACCCCTGACTGCTCTGTGTAGGCTGGCTACAGAGACAAGAAGCTACTTTTCTGCTTAAAGTATTTTTCTCATGGTGTTTTTGTGCCAATTTTGAAGTATCAGATCAATTAGTCTAATCCTGTTTTGTGTGATTATCATAAAAATATGCTTATTTCCAGTCCAGAAACAGTATCACAATGAGAGATGTTTCAGTTGCAATTCTTAGCATTTCAGAAAGGAGAAAATGATTTTTGACAATTTATTGCTTCTCAATGCATTGGTCTTAAACCTCTCTTTTAAATCTCTCWTTCAGGGATGGGTGCATTCAAATTTTAAGATTTTTCAGATGTTTTAAAATTTCATAAAGCATTGAGTAAGTGCAGACTTCACATCTCACTCTCCAAAGATGCATCTGCTCTTAAATGTTTCTTTGCATACAGAAGAAGTCAGAGATGCTCCACCCCACACATTTGCAATTTCCTATTTAAACTCAAAGCTGAAATACTGACATGTGCAGCATAAAATTTTGGATTTCCATGAGTAATGAAATAATTCTCAAGATAAGGTAACAACAGAGCCTTTTCAAATCGCAAACTGAAGCCTCCCTTCACTTAGCTTGGAGTTTGACTGGAACTGATTTGATTGATCCGCAGATGGACTAACATGAAGAAGYAGCATGGAGAATGTTCTGCCTCTAATTCCCAGCAATTCTTCTATGTTAGAGCTTAAAAGAAGGAAGGATCCTTTTATACTGCACTTTATACTGCATATACTGAGGCATTTTTTCCTTTGGAAGTTTGAGTTTAGCTTGTGGAAAATACAGAGGAGTTAAAATACAACCAAACGGAAACCTCTAAGCTTTAAAGGTGTTGAACTGAGATACTGCACCAACTTTTAATGCTGTACAGATTGTACAGGAAACAAAAGAACAAATCAAGTTCTGAAGATAATTTAAGGTAGAACATGTGTGACTTACATTTGCTAGCCTCTGTATCAGCACTTATGCTGCCTCGGATGTGATTAATTCATGTTTCAAACAAGAAGGCAATTCTAAACACTATTTGAGAAAAAGGAGAGCAACTAGCAAAATTAGACATGAAACACATCTATATCAGCAGCAGGCTTTACAGCCTGTGGCATCCCTTGCTTGAAAGAGTGTCACAGCATATTATTTTGCACACAGATGCCCCAGGCTAATGCAGATGCTGATGACTGTGCTGTATTAAAATCTCATACCTTGCAGCCTTCACATGTGATGACTCCATAGTGTATTCCAGAGGACTTATCTCCACAAATTTTGCATGGTATCACTTCAATTTGCGCTGGAAAAAAAAAAATCTATTTTGAGTACCTTATTCTATTTCATTTCTTTCTCCCTCAAATGAGGATCACAAAAATTAGCATTAATACAGTAGGTAACCTGTTCACCCCCTGACAATATAAAACTGTTTTGTATTGTATTACATTTCTGAATGCTTTGTTTAGAAGAATTTTAATTGCTGCCCATTATGTAGTTCCTACCATTCCCCACAAAACTCTCTTCAACAACTGAAGCTCTCACGATTGGAAAGTTTTTCCTCATATTCTTCTCTTTTGTCTTTACTTGTAAATTTCATCATCATTACTGCTAATGACAACTATTAGAGATCCTAAATAATTATCTAGATTGTTCTTGTTTACAATTTTCAAATATTCATGATTTTACCCTTTATTTTGCTGAGGTAGAATTACATAGCATTTTTCCACTATTCCACTATTTCCACTATTAATTCCACTAACAATTCCACTAACAGAAATGAGTTTTAAAATAACTGCTTAAGCAAGGACCAAAAACTGAGATTAAACATCCYGCGCTAGTGCTTTGGGATTCTGGGACTGGACAAATGATTCAGAAAGCAATCAGAGATCCAGTGGCAGAAAGATGTTTGAATAGGAATATGATCAGATGCTTTTATAAACAAAATGACCATTTAATTAATAGAAGGAAAATATCTCCTTTTTTCTTTTTCTTTCTTTCTTTTGATACTATTTGCTTCCATCAGTTGAACTTTGAATTTTGTTTTTCTTGTCTGCCCTGTAAGAGCACATACTCTAATATGTATGGAAAGATTGTGTTTTATGCAAGGAAGACATAATGAGGAGGTGTAAAACCTATTTTACCTCCTATTCATTTTTCTGTGTGAGATCTAAGCCTCTCTTAATTTTCATCCCACTAGACGATGACCATTATGTCTAGTAAGATTGCTTTCCTGCAGCTGTAGTACMAATTCACATCCTTTGGTAGTACAGCTGAGAGCCTGTGTAGTCAGGCTCCCCTGAGCACAAGTGGTAACTTACTGTTCTGGCTGGGCATGTACAACTCCAAAAGGGACTGGCAGGTACAAAACAAGATTATATTTACATGTTGATATGCAAAGAACATTCCATTTCAAATCTGTGGTCACTTAGAGGGGTCATAAATACCAGAAAAAAAGTATTTTAAAATGACTGCATATTTTAAGCTAAGAAYTAAGTAGCCTTCTACAATGGATGCTGTGGCAGTATAATGGTCAGATCTGTATATTGCCCAGTTTAAGCCTATATTTATAATTTACCACTCCTAGTAGAAGATAAGACTTTTCTATGAGTAACTTCCCAACTGACATGAGGCTGAAAGAAGATTCAGAGCAGTGTCCTGCTGAGGTACCACACTGCTCTTGGGAAGTGCAGCACATCCCTCATGCAAAGGCAAAGAAATACACTGCAGACTGAGGGTAAACTCAGCAAGGTGGACATCAGCAGTCCCCATTCTCTGGAAACTCATGTAACTATTACTCTGCAATACCATATCCCAAAGGAGAGAGGGAAAAGTGAGATTCACAGATGTCTGGAAAAACTTCAGCTTGCCAATGTGAGCACAGTTTCCTCAGATGCTAYTGCTGATCAAGCATAATTTCAGGCAAGGCTAGCACTAGTTCAGGCAAGCAAACCAGCTTTTAAATTGGTTGGAATCCAAAATAGTTAGGCTGAATTTTAGCAAACTGCAATTTGTTGCTAACCTGTTTCAGATGGAGAAGACACAGAACAAAACTCTCAGATGTCTTTGCACATAAGAAAGTTCTTATCCAGAATGTTAGCCATTCTTGCATGATAACCTCATAAAATCAAGGAGAAATCTTTATAGAAGACAATGCCCAGTTCCTTGGCAATTCTCTTCTACACAGTTTGATCTTGCTAAAAATTTCCCATGCCTCCTCTGAACTGAGTTCATTAACACAKTTAAACATGCACCCCTAGGTACTGATGTTTGAGAGGCTAGTTCAGCTAACTGCTCACAGACTCTCTGTGCTTGAGAGTCGTGTGGAGGGAGCAAGGTTGGACAACATGCTGCTTTCTACTGGATGTCAGTGCAGGAACTACTGTAGGAATATGAGGAGATCCTCAKGAAAAGACAAGACACAGGAGGAAAAAAAACCACAGAAACACAAAAACAGAGAAAAATATATAGAAGATACTTTTAGTGTGGCTTACTCGCACATACAATGTGTAACTGCAATAAGAACAGAGGCAGAAGAATTGATCCTGCAGCCCTCATGCTGCTGTGCACTGTCCTTGTCCCTGTAAGCAAGCAATAATTCCATGTGTGTCTTGCAATTCTAAGCACTAAAATAAAGGTAAATAGTTGCAGATCAGGTCACTAAATGATAGGGCTATGACTTTCAATTGATATGACACAGATACTTTTGCCCACAACTCATCAGTTAATTCAGACCCTACTTCAAAACTAATCATTGTATACATTAAATATAGGATATAAAATAAATATAGGATATAAAGTAAATCTAGCAAAATTGCTGCTGCAGATCTTTGGAAAATGCAAAGAAAAGACACAGAAGGTGTGTGAAGAAGTTTGGAAAAGTAGACTCTGGTCTCTAGACTCTCCTAGGCATTTCCCTTTGTTCATAAGACAGCAGAACAATTTAAGGATTCGTAACAGAAAACTTGAGTTGTTAATTGTACAAGCCAGGTGAAAAAGAAGCCACTGTATTCCCAGAAACATCTWGAATTACTGTAATTAACACCCAGTGTACCAGGTTTCTTTTGCAGATTTAATGATTGTCAGAGGCTACTACACCTTTTTTTCACATTGCATCTTTGTTCAGCCACCCAGCATTGTATGTTGTCTTTCTTTTTCCCTTCTCCTCTTCAGTCAACAAACAGTTTCGGAACTGCATGTTCTACCTCTCTTTTTGGGTATTATTGAATAAGCAGCTTACTTCGGAACTCTTTACCAGTACAAAATGCATCCATTCAGTACTGCTTTCTGAATACTGAAGTAAAAATGCAAAGAACTAATATGGTTTTGCCATAATGGTAACTTTCTGCAGCACAGGAAAATAACTTATTTTATTCCCATCTAGTAAAAACAAGGAAGTGTGTAAGAGCAAAACTACTTAGGTCCACTTTTAAAGTCCTTCCACTTTCCTTTTCACCCATTTATTAACGCAATACAGAATAATAGCTCTTGACTCTTTTCTATCAAAAACAAATCTCAACTACCCATTTGCTCAATTTTTCAGCAAGCACATTCACTTTTCCTCCTCCTCAGGGAGTATCACTCCATAAAACTCTGCAAAGCCACCATCATCCTGATATCTAACAGAACAGCAATGTTTGGACAATGGGYGCATTGTGATAACTTGGCTGTGGTGACATGGTTCTTTTATTGTACCGCGCATTGGCCCATCTCTCCACTGTATTCACCTCTTATTTTATATTTAAGTGCAAGTTCTTTGGGCTGGTAGCTGTCCCTAGGTTTATATCACATGCTGAAAAACAGTACAGTGCAACAGAAATGCATTAATTGAACTTGAATCATAACAATAATAATCCACAGAAACTGTTTTCACCACCTGGATGCCAATACGGTCTCTCTGGACGAAAGGAAGAAGACTGAAATTCTACTACAGAAGCAAATACAAAATCCTGTAATACACTTGAAATGAACCACTGGAAAAAAAAAAGTTTATGTTAAATCCATCTTCAAACCAAATAGTTATTTTCTCAAATGCTGCCTCAGGAGGAATAAAAAGATGTCCTGGACCTCTACTTTTGTACCTCTGGAAAGAATTTATTTACCAAGATAAAATTCATTATTCTAAAACAAGGCAAGCAATTGCCAGGTTTCAAAAATTGCTATATCGGTGAAATTAGGAAAGAGATACAGAGTTTAACTCTGAGTTTAAATTTAAAGCTTAACTTACAAAATTCCTCCTGAAAAAATGACAAGGGTCATAAAGGCAAGTAGCATGCCTGCCTTTACTGCTGAGGACTGCCATTCAAAGTGATAATGTATGACAAGAAAAAAGCAAAGCTCACATTTTATGTAATTCTAGTTTAGCATCTGAGGAACTTCATTCAGTAGAGACTGGATTGTAATCTCTCAGCCTGTAGTTTTGGTTCCAAGGGAAGAAAAGTCTCATGCTTTCAATTTTTACTCTTTTTGAAAAGAGTAGTGTAAAGCATTAACTCTCTCTGATTTGGTGATCCAAAAGAGATTGTACTTCAAAACATCAAGGATAGTCAGAAAACCAACGGGGGAAAACATGCATCTCCTCTACCATCCAAGAATTCCCACCACCCTTAAATTGGAATTATGAAAAAAACTGCCAGTAGATTGGCCCTGTACACTGTGATGACTGTATGCCTAAATAATATCAAATTTAACATACTTACTAGTTTTGCTGTTTCATTCGGACCTCCTTGAATTGGACACGTTTTTTTCTTTCCTTTTTCCTTCAAATTACCAGCAGTAGAAGTATCCAGCTTAAATTATGCCACTAATTAGATGTTGCTACTTCCTTTGTGATGGTATTAGACATTTTGTGGCTGCAGAGCAACAGTTCCATTTCTTTTTGTTTGTATTTAATAAACTGAAAATATACATTCAAGGATAYTAGTTGGGTTTTTTAGCCTCTGACATACCTCATGCAGTGAGGTATGCAGTGCATGATATCTCAGCAAGTCATAGCAATTAGCAATGCTAATGAACATATCTGTAGATACACGATTGCTGTCAACCATATCCCAACTGATTTGTTAAAATAAGCAGATAGGTTGGAATTCACACTGGAAATACCTGATTCATAAAATCTTAGAATTTAATTTCCAAGAATTCTAAATCTTAAAATTTAAATCTTAGCTAAAATTGTAGAACCTATAAAGAACCTATAATTCTGGCTACAGGTCTGCACCCTGGACTTTGTTAAATCTGTGACTGCTGCCAGGTACGTTCTGGCAAGGGTCCCTGTGCATGTGCAGCAATGCCAACAAATCCCAAGCATGCCAAGTCCACTGCTGACATGCAGAGACACAAAAATGTGCAAAATGCAGCACTTTTTGAAAATCTGTATGTTCTCCTGGCCACACTAGGCTCACGCAGCAGACTTGATCTGTACATACTCTGTGCCACTTTGCCAAGGATTTCAAGGGAACTGGTGGTCCTGACTGTTGGACTAGTAATTCGATAGATCATTACTCAAAATAGCAGTGATAGATTACTACTAAAAAGATTGTTTTCCTCATAAATTCATACAATTGCCAGATCTAATTTCCTTCATGGCCTCATGAAGTATTTTAGTTT